AGATAGGGAATTAATGTGGATCCTTGATGTAATCATATGCTAATAGGAAACTTATTAGACACATTCTCTCTAGTTCTAATACTAGTAGCTACATTATTATATATATCTTTAATAACATCAATATAATTTGTCTTGACATTAATAAAAGGTGATTTAAACATGTATTCTAGAATACATCAAAGTTAACAAGATTAGTAATGTCTTCTCGTAATGTTCACCGACTTTCTCAAGATAATTTGTCCAGTAATTGTGCTCAGTAATCATCTTCCATAACATTAATATAAAGTAATTTAAACATGTACTCTATAATACATGAAGACAAAAACATAAAACTTTCTAGTTATTCAATCGAGTTTTGTAGTGAGAGCATCACTCCAAAATTGAATCTAGTTTAGTTAGATTTCTTTAGGGTCGTGCCGAGTTACACTTTTAGATATTCTTGTCCAAGCACACTATATCTAGAGGTTCTTAGGCTTTCGAGGGACTCTCAATTTGATAAGATTTATTAGAATTTAATTTTTTTTCCTTTTTAGTTATCTTAGAAGTTATGTAAACTTCATTATAGATAAGTGTTTTATGCATAAAGTGTTAATTTTTAAGTCAATAAGAATATTTGAGTTATCTTTGAGGCTGTGTGGTTTTGGTTATTTCTCTTATCCATCTTGATTATAACCTCTATCTTCCCAATCAAATTTCTTTATGCCATCTCTCTCTCTTATAGCTGGATGGTAGTTGTAGCCTATCAACTTTATGTTAATTGTATTGCTTGGAAGCCCCTCTTCCCTACCAAAGTCTTCTGCCTCCTTCATCCCATTATTCTATACAATAATTCTTTCTGCCATGCTTGCATCAATTTGGTACCAGAGTCGTGCATACATCAATTTGGTATCAAATGGTGCATGCACCAGTTTGGCATCAAAGTTGTGCATGCAACAGTCTGGCATCAAATATGTACATGCATCAATTTAGTTTGGCATCAAGGTCATGCGTGCATCAATTTAGTTTAGCATCAAAGTCATGCATGCATCATCACAGTCGGTAGCCACCATGTTCTACCATGATGGCCAATCCTACACTATCAACTAATATCAATCAAGCAACTAAAGTGATTCTTCATCCAATCTGGGAGTGTACATGAATCATTGCGTTTCAGTGTCCATCAGGATTGGTTTGTTGACCTAGTTGAAAAGCACTCAAATCATAATCTCCAATTTATGAGACTTAGTGAGATAGAACTCGCAACAACAAATCGATCTTGAGATGGGATTTGCACAATGGCAGCTATGGCACTCATCTTCACGCACACAAAAAATATACCTCTCAATGACCCAAATGTGTTTTCTCTTCCAACTCACGATTCCTACTAACCTTTTTCTAGGTAGATAACTTATTTCTCCTCATTTACCTTCCATATTGATATCATGTCAAATGTTCCCCCACTCAGAGCCGAAAAGATATGGATTTCCACCACGGATCCAGGAAATAGCAAACTCCCTTTGCAGCACAGATATATTCCAACGAAAAAACATATATGGTAGATTGACTCACCACTGATCTTCTTCTCTTCTTCGGTAAGAAAAATTAGGGCAAACAAAACCGATCTGACTCGAAGTGATCGGTTCAAATTAATTAAATCAAAACCCTAAAACGAGGAGTCCCAGAGCGATTATAGAGAAGAGAAGAAGGAAGTAAAGGATCGAACCAGCGACTCGGGGGCGCTCGAGGAGGATCTCCTCGGTGGAGACCATGGTGAAGCGAGCGCCGGCGTCCTCGTATTCGGCGTCGCCAAACTTGGGCCAGGACCGGCGCTCGATGGCGCGCTTGCTGAGTCGGGCGCCGGTGAGCTTGCGGGCGCGGGTGGTGGTGGTGACGCGCACCTTGTTGCCCTCGTCGTCGAACCGGTACTCGATCACTTTCTTCGCTCCGTTCTCGTCGGGCCCTACGACCACCAGCGGCTGAGGGAGGAAGTCCAGATCCCCCGCGTCGTCCTCCAGCTCCCCCCACCGTATCTTCCCCATGCCGACCGTCACCCTCGACTCCCCGCTCACTCTCGCAACAAAGTGCGTGCACATACATCACATATATATGGATTGCCCATTCGGCGTCCCGAATCGCGATCAAGACCCAGTGTTAGAAATGTTGACTTGGTTGACCACAACTACGTCGAAGTAATGGGCCGAGCCTTTTAAATGGGCTTAACGTCGAACCCAGAGAGGCCCTTTAAAATCTTACCCGTTGTCCGTGAGTTGGGCCTTGAAGCCCACATAACTCAATATGCAATCTGGTCTCATCGGATGCAGTGATTTGAAGGCACTCCACGATAAACTCGAGTAATTGTTATTTTGGATTGAAAGATTTATGAATCCCAAAGACATCAATTTCTTCAGTGAGTAGTAATCTCAAGTTTTCTCTTTGAATATTCAAAACCTGGAGAAAATTAATTTGAACCACCATGGCTTCAATATTAACATAAATCACGAATGTGAGGTTTGGAGAGGATCAATGGATGCAGTTTTACCTCTACAAATGTATTAAGCAATCGAGATCGGCTCAGGACCTCAATCATTTAAGCTTGGTGGCTGGGTTGTTGAACCCTCTCACGTTTCATCTTCAACCTTACGCTGCAATGTCAACCTTAGGTTCTGTTCTTTCCACTAAACCATGTTGTAATACGTCGATGTTTTCAGTCAGCAGAAGAAAAGACCCTTCAAAAAACAGTCATTCCATATTGTTTATGATGCACTACAAAGTGAGATCGTGGGAAGAGCAGTAGGATTGTCTTCAACGCAAAGAATTTGAGTTCAATGGAGGTCGTTCTTCACCACTTGAATAAAAATTTTGGTTGCATAGTTACAAGATCCATTAAACTAATCAGATTTATCAGCTTGGAGACTTGTCGAGGATCGTAATGAAAGATTCTTGCAGCATAATCTATATGTTGTGGACCTCCTCGTCTTCTGATTGTTTCTGCACCTGCCCCACAATCCTCATAGCGACAATGACACGGCCGAGTTACGTACGATGCAGTCAACAAAAGACACCCCAAAAAATAATGCACTCGAAAGTGATTGCTACCATTTTGATGGGTAGCTCAATGGGAGTGCAGAGTTAATTTTCGTCAAGTGATGATGTAGAGAAATAAACTGCGGGAGATGTTAAACATACCATGCAGACATATCAATTGACCCCTACAAAGGCAATGGAGTGGATCGTTTTCCTTCTTCATTTGATTGCATGGTACTTCAAAAGCTCCAAGATAGTGCAGACAACATAATTTGTCTCCAAGATTTGTCTTTCTAAATCATAAGGAGGAGGAGATCTGGTTCAGAAAGAAATCTCTGAGATGAAAGGATTAAATGGGGTTACATAAAAATGACTTCCTGTTTTAGAGGTTTAGCATCTCAACATGTTCTTAACCTAATATTTTCTTGATTTCTCTCAGGAAATGTGCGAGTGGTCTGAATGGAGAGAACTGTTCTATGGATAAGAAGTAGTGAAGTTTATCCTCGGAGAGTTCAAAGGAGATAGTTTGCTTGAGCACATTATGAGGAACAAGTGGAGAAGAGCCTCAAGAAAAACAAATACTGGATTGTTGATCAACTACTGATCATGATGTAAGATGAACAGTCCCTGAATCCATTATTCAAAATCTTCCCACATGATTTTTTATACCACATGATAAAAACTTGCTTTCCACCACAAAAATCTTACTGCATCAGCACTTTATACCACATGATAAAACCTCTCATGTCAGACAAATTATTGCAGAAATGGTCACTCATTCATCAAGAGTGCATCCAAAATCCAGTAGGGGAAGAATGGAAACACAAGTATCTGGTGTCATCCACCGAGGCACTCAATGCTTTGAGCTGTTCTTGATTCCAGTCCAACTGGATCACAAGAAAAATTAAAAATTCCAACCAACAATTATGTACCTTAAATCCTAGTTTTGTAGCCGATCTCTGCCTGTGGGTTCCTTGCAGGACAACCATCGTTACTGGCTGGCTACTCTGCAAAAGAGAAGATTATACGGTCGCCTAACATTCAGTAACGAGTCCCTCGATGAGATCATTATGGATCATTAAGAGTCTCCGCACACAGGAATATCGTTGAGATAAATGAAAGGAAGATCACATATCTCCAGCACACATACATATGCCGAATTCATGCGCCATAAACACGTATCGTAGATCGTTAAACAGTCGAGTTTACAGTCCCATGGTAATTCAATTTTCAAGTTTAATCAGCTCTATTATTTCTGCATTCATATCTTGCACTTGCTCTCAATAATTAGCAGTAGTAACTTTCGTCTCAAAATGCGTTCAGCGAGAAGTGCCAAACCAAGAACAAGGCCATTGTGAACTTTCTTTGAAGAAAATGTCTTAAAAGGAAGAGAGAGAGAGAGAGAGAGAGAGTCAGGACAAAGGTAACCATCCGTCCCCTTCTGAGGATGAGCTTGCAAGTAGACCGGAGGGCCTCACCATCCATTGTTAATTCGTCTTCTCAAATGGAATTTGGAGATCGTTCACTTATATTTCATCTGTCTTACAGAAGCAGCAAACTAAACAGCTTCAGTATCAGCCCTATCACTGTCACCAAAGCAATGGTTTCTTAGTGAAATGATGTTTGTTTGGTGAGGCATTTGTCACCTGTTGATACAGTCAAGAAGTAATTGTTTCGCACTGGTTATCACATGCTGACAGAGATATACAGCAATAGAAAATGATGACACTAAGAAGCAGATAACATATTCTCTAACGACAACCTTTCATGATAAACTTAGTTGACCGGTCATTGACCTAATCTGGAAGAAGCAAATGCAGACCCCAACCAACCTCATGCGGTACAAGGAAGCTTTGATCCAAGTAATGGTCCAGAAGCGCAAACCGATGCTTGTTAATCAAGGTCATTTGATACGCATTTCTTTTCCGTAGTCCAAAAGAGCAGTAAAGTAGAGACTGGACTATTATTGATGTAGTAGGTTTCTGAGAAGATAACGAAGAATAGTTGTTGTTTTTTGAGACTCTTAATTGTTGTTGATTTTTGTACGCTTGAATAGGGAGAATTCAACCTTGAATTACAATTACAATGAGTAAAACACTCGTCGAGTCGCTGGTGATGGTGGTGGAGAACAAACTCCACAGATGAAATCAGAAGCGTCTTGACAAAGAAAAGGGCTTAGAACCTACCTTGAGGAGACTTTGCAGGCTTGCATCGCTCCCATAGATTCTCATGCACCTTTCTTACCTACAACCATATTCCACCTTTTGCAAGCTCTTCCATGGAAGCACCCGTGCATAGCCGCTGAGTCGTCGGTGTCTACATAAGCTCTTCATCCAGGAAGAAGAGCGATGGAGCAGGCAAGATATTGGATGCGGATGACGAGCGGGCCTCGCCTCAGCACTCAGATCCCCGGGCTCATCGTTGGATCCGCCTGCAACGAGTCATGGGAGGAGAAGGCCTTCGCTGAAGACACCGCAGGCCACTTAGGAGGCTGCGTATGGCCGCCGAGATCTTATTCGTGTAGCTTCTGCAGACGAGAATTCCGATCGGCCCAAGCTCTCGGCGGGCACATGAACGTGCACCGAAGGGATCGAGCCAAGCTCAGGGAATCTGCGAGCCTCAGCGAGGAAGCCGCAGAAGAACAACGTCAACCGCAGGTTAGCCCCTTAGCACTCGGTGCTGCTGCTAACCCTAACCCTAGTTCTGGTGTTCTAGCATCACCCGTGTCTCCTAGGGTTCCTGCTCCAGTCACCACCAGAAGGATTTGGATCGAGGACACCCTGTTCTCTCCTTCCCTTTCTTCATCTACCATTCGGGAGGACGTAAAGGAGTACTCGCTTCTTTCCACGACTACGCCTCTGGATCTACTACTTGTGCCGGAACTAAAGCTTAGGGCAGAGGATTTGGGGTCCAAGGAGTTTGGTCTCCGGAGATGGAGAGACATACAAGTCTGTGACGAGGAGGCCAACCGTAAGAAGAGAAGGAGATGTGATCATCCAACGCCTGCTTTCTTCTTGAGAGCCTCTTCAGCAGAGCAGCAACAAGATCGATTTGAGGTTCTTAATCCTATCACAGTCGAAGACTTGGATCTTGAACTTAGGCTTGGAGATGCCCCTCTCAAAATTAAGTAGGAATTCAGATCCTTTTGTTGTGTTCTTAAATATCTCAAATCTGAATCATTTTTCTTGTGGAAAATTGCCTGTTCCATCATCAAACCGATGGTTTGATGATTGCTTGCAATGGTCTTAACGATTGTCTGCAAGAAGACACCACCAAAGCGCTCGAAATGATCCTTGAATACCTGATGATAACATCATTTATAATACATAATCCTTTTATTTTTTTCTTGAGAAAGGCCTGCAATAGAAGAATTACAAGAAAATGTCATTGGTTGTTGTTTTGAGAAAGATCTACATTAGCATAATAAGAATTTTATATCCTAGTCTTAATGCAGATTGACTAAATTGTGTACATGCACATATTCGCTATATGTATATACTTGCACACACACATATATATTGCATCAGAGAAGAAAGAAGAACATAGCTTGTGAGTTGTCTACTTGTTTTGAGTGTCTTGTCACCCTAAGCACAGAGGACAATAAAACGAATCCTTATCTCTGCAGGCAATTAAGTGCAGGACAATAAAACGGCTCCTATTTGTTCTTCTTGAGTATTTCTCTCTTCAGACAAGTAAAAGCTCACTGACTGACACAATCCAGCATTGGAAATAAATCTGAGTCTGTGTTAGAATATACAAAGTTGAAATGCATCAGTACACAGATTCCCTTTGCCGAAGCATTCCAGCGCTCGAATCAGATGTCTCTTCCTCATCAACCCATCTGTTTGCTTCTGTTCTTTTCTTCTTTCCTTTCCAAAGCTCCAAATCCAATAGCGCCATGGAATCGCATCATAATTGTGTTAGTCATTGCACGCTGATGATATCACTATCTCCAGATAGTGATATCTCCACTGCTGCAACATAAATGGACTCCAGAAGAGACTGGGGTAGAGATGGAGCCTTGGGGAAAAGAGTTATATCTACTGATGAATCCGAGTAAAAGAGTCATTAAGGAGACCGGTTTTGTCCTGTTCTTCGTTGGGACATGAAAGGCTAGCTAGTTGAGTAGGGAAGTACAGAGAGAGCGAGAGAGAGAGAGAGAGAGAGAGAGAGAGAGAGAGAGAGAGAGAGAGTGTGTGTGTGTGTGTGTGTGTGTG